AGCGTGTCATGTTTGCAGAACGTGAAAACGTGCGAAACCGCCTTAATTAACTCGATTAAGACGTTAAAAAGCCTCCCTCTTTCACAGTCAGATTCACCATCGTTGAGTCGTTCTCCGTTTCATCCCTTTTTTTCTCCTTCTCCTGTCTCTCTTACTCTCTTTAATATCTAGCTACTTATTGTATTCTATCTTTTTAAAAATTAATTTTTTAATGAAGATACAATTTTTTTTATAGATAATCTTTAAGAAACGCGATAATTAAAGATAGTATTTTATTAAAGATAGTAAATTACTGTATAATCAGAAGTATTGATGAAAATTGTATATGTGTCATTATAAGATTGTAGATTTTAATTTATGTATTTATTGAAAAATATCTAAAAAATGCATATGATATGGAAAAAAGACATGAAATATTTAGAGTATGATTCGTATCGTGTTATTTCAAAAATGAAATTCTATTTAAGCTCCATTTTTTGAATGTGTTCGTACAAATTTTATTTTGCATAAATATTCATGATCTATGCAGTCACTATGTATGCATTGTATATTTTCAGGATGAAATTAAAGTGATTAAGAAATTTTCATTATAGTAAATAATGAAAGTATTTGAAGAATAAGATAGAAAATAATCGATTAAATGTGAGATAAATTGTAATTAATTGTAATTGAAAACTAATAATACAAGTTAACAGAAAATTTTACATGTGAAAATAAAAAAAAAAGAGAAAATTTTTTCGTGCAGAATAAATTTATTAGTTTTCGAGTAAACTATATTTAAAAACTTCAAATACAAACAAAATTAATTAATTCTCGATTGGATACGAATGAATTATCAATAAAACAATTTTTAACTGAATAAAAAATATATAATGCATTTTTTCATTTAAAAATTCGATATATAAAAAGTTCGATGCATAATTTCTTAAACATTACCTGTTGTTTTTAATTGATATTTAATATCTATTTTCTAAATATATTTTCTAAAAAATAAAAAGAAACTTTTAAACAATAAAATTTTATTTTTACATATAGAATAATTTTCCATTGATATTATTTTTATTCATGTTCAATCAATCAGTTTCACTTGTTCTTGAATCTTCAAATTTGATTTACTCAAAAACAAAATTTCAAACGAAAGAAATTTATTTCCGCCTCATTTTTACCTATACAATTCTTCTACCAATATCAACCATAGAAGATAAATTGATCGAAAAAAAAAAAATTCACATATAATCAAACCCACGTTTGTCCAGTATCAACTATAGTTTTCTGCAAAAAGAAAAAAAAAAAAAAAAAAAAGAAAAAAAAATACAATTTATCGCGATTCAGACAAAATAGCATGTAAAAGAAGTAAATACATAAATGACCTCGTGTTCGTCAGGTCCCTAAATTCATTAAGGGTAATTAGAAGAGCCGTGAATGGAGTCGATGCTTTGACAGATAAGTATAATCGAGGGTGATCCGCGGCATGGATTATCGTTGGGTCGCGACTCGTTGATTCTTATTCAGCGCGCGTTCCGCGCCGACGAATCGTCGGGACGCGCGTCGCCCGAGTTTTGCGCCGCTTCGAGGTGCACAAAGTAACCGCGGATATATAATTGAATTAAATATCGCGTGAAGCAGGCCCGTATGAGGTCACTTGACATGCAAACGCGATCGTTTATTCTTCCAGGATAAAAGAGGTGATACGCTGTTTAAGAATGATCTATTGCGCCAGGAGCGGTTCGGTCACAAGAGGAAAGATGATGTAGGAGAACGTTGTTTAACGTTGGAATTCTTAATGATTTTCAATGAGATATTATTGTCGATTATTTCAGTGAGAAACTTGTTCCTCTTTGGATAAGAAAACTAGCGGAATCTTAATTTGAGAAGTTTCATAATGAAGACACGAATTTATGTTTAGATCGTATATTGTTTTTTTGTAATTTTCATTCATTTGAGAAATAGCTTTTGTAGAATTATGTGTGTTTGTTAATAATTTTGATGCATAATAATATTTTAAATTAAGTGATGAGATTTTTTTGTATGAAAGTATCTAAGCTAGTTGGAGTATCAAGATTATTTTTTGTGGTTTTCTTAGATAGGTAATTTGTAAAATGTTCAAAAGAAAGATATTGAGAAAGATTTTTTCAAGAAGAACAGTAAAGTTTCAAATAGTCATATAATAAAATTTAATTACAATAAAATTTAAAAATTATCATTCACTGTAATTACTATAATAAGCATTTAATGACATCTAAAATGTGAATAAATTGCAGATACGTGTTTAAAGGTGGATAAACTCAATAATAATAAAATAATTAATGATATATTTTATAATTATAAATATATTACATAGATATAGTAAAATGACTTAATTATTCTATGTGTCTGAATAAATATTTCTTATTAACAATTGTCTTCTTTTATTAAACTTTTCATCTAATAAATTTCTAAATAAATTTCTAAGACATTTTGACTTTCATTTTGACTTTTATATATTTAAATTATATATAATAATTAGTACATCAAACATCATTAAAACATTAAAATTATTAAAATTATTTATCATTGAGATATTTAATACTCAAACTATCATAGTTTGTCACAATTGAAATCTGTACATTGACTATCTATAAGTCAACCATTTCTGACTTCCTCTATCACTACATCATTCATAAAAATAACTGTATTCGATTTCTAAAAACATCAATCATCCCCAAGTTTTACTATCCCCTATTTCATACACCACATCAACATTCAAGGAACATCTATACTACTTCCTGAAGATCAATCATCTTCAATTTCCTCTTTCACCGAACCTATTCTCAAGTATCTTTTAAAAATCATTTCAATCAATTCTTTTTCTTCAACTTTGTATTTTTCAAACTCGCTATTCACAAAAAGATTTTGAAAAAATTTTCCAAGAAATGCATTTTCAACCTTTAATCTTTATGAACGAAATATTTCACAATACAATTTTATTCACATAACATATAAGATTACATGTTATAATATTAATGTTATAATATTATATTTACATTTTATCTATTAATTATATATTATATTTACATTTTGTGTGTGAATTTTTTTTATTCAAATCTATATTTTTTTAGATTAAAGCATAAACATATCTTTCAAAATATTTTATAAACGACTTTATATCATAAATGATATATCATTTTTAACAGTAAAAGAGTCAAATTCAAACTCTTTATTTAAAAAGTTTCTTGAAACTTTTAAAAAGCTTCTTCATCAATCTTAATAATCTTGTGCTTACAAATCATTCACAGATACATATTCTGATAAACATATCAAAAAGTTACTTTTTGAGTGATTTCAATGAATTGAATTAAAATATATCATTAGTAAAATTACTTTTTTCTAAGCAAAAAATTTCTATGTATATACTGCATTGGTTTGTTTATATCAAATTTGATTTCTGTAAGATTTATGGCATAATGAAATATTAGACAGAGATCACATTTTTTTTACTAATAAAAATTCACATTTAATTTACTAATAAAAATTTATTATCAGATGATCAGAATGTAGACTGTTATCTTGTAATAATTTTTGATGATTTTTGATATCAATTTTAATTGATATAGATATAAATGTAATTATTATGATGAAGCTATGTCAGAACATATAATAATATATCGTGTAAAAAATTATTATATATAACTCATATATAACTTATATATAAATTGTTATATATTATATAACTCAAAAATTAAACCTAATTATATAGATTAATATAAAAATGTAAAAAATTTAAGAGATAAATTTAGAGACTAAAACAAATACAAAAATTCTTATTTAAAAATATTTGAAATATCAAATTAAAAACAATTTTTTTTTATTAAAGTAGATAAACGATTGAATGAGATAATTTTTATTTCTCCACTGTTTCACTTTATCTAACTTAATTGAATTGCTTAAAATGTAATAAATAATCAAGTTTGACCACTAATTTTTCTATTTATTTTAATTTCCAATATCAATCCTTAAATTTTCTATCTAAACATCTTTTATTTACATATAGAAAGAAATTGTTCAAAATGATAACTCTGACAACCTATTTCAAGTTCATTGAAATCTACATGTCTCAATATACATACTCATCAACGAAAATTATATCTTTTGTGAGTTATTCGTTGGCGACAGAATTGGGCATTAACGAGTTAAAAAATTAATTAGTTAAAATTTCGAATAATGTTATTTTAATATGATGTGATATGATATGATAATTTTATTTAAAATGTTCAAATAACATTTATTCATAACTACTATAATTGACCATTCTTCGTCTACGTTTAACAGCGATTATTCGTTGCTTTGAACGATAAATTATTTATTAATGTAATTTTATTCTTAACACATTATTGGCCGGTGTTGTACTATAGAAAAAATAACGTGCAACCAGTGAAATTTCGTTTTATTAAAGAATATTAATTGGACAAAATTCATTAAATTGCAAAATCCACTATAAGTTATAAATTTAAATACAATTAAATAATGAATATGTAAAACTAGAAATAATATATGTAAAAATAAAAATAATAAAAAGAAAATAAACGTTGTTATTCATTGAAAAATCGATTGAGGTTTTGTCTTTGAAAGAATGAAAAAAAAGTTACGTGACACATTATTGGAAATTTAATATTTTAAGGTAAGATAAAATCTTCACTCATATCTAAAGAAATTTCACATAATATACTAACAAATTCAATTTTGCTTTTCGAATTCAACGAACTCTTCGTTTATGCGATTATTTTTTTTAATCACTTATCCATTCGAACATTTTCCAAGAAGAAAAAATAAAATTAAACAAACCACAAACCGATCTCGTGTATCAAATTAGACATTTAATTTCAATAGATATATCCAAAACCCCTTTTTGAAAAGTCTTAATTTTATTCTATCGGCTGATAATGTGTTAAAATTTGGTCCATCTCTAGTTGAAAGCAGTTTCATATCTTCTTAATAAAAAGCAAGATCAAAGAAAGACTTACGGGTGAGGTGGTGGAGCGTGGAAAGCGGCGGCGGCGGCGGCAGCCGCGGCGGCCGCGTGATGCTCCCATGCGGCAGCGGCGGCCGCGGCCGGATGAGGTGGAGGCGGCGGTCCATGATGCGGATGAAACGGTGGAGGCGGTGGATGCGGGTGCGGGTGGAAAGCCGCGTGGAACGCCGAGTGAGGGTGATGTGGGGGTGGCGGGGGCGGCAACAGGGAGAACGCCTCCTGATGATAAGCGACCTCCTTTTCTGGCATTTTGTTCTCGCTGCTCCGCGCCACAGAGGGTGACTTGGCTGCCTGTTCGTCCAGGATCAGGGAAGATCGTCCTGTATGACACCCCGTGCCCGACCACCCTCGATCCACGATTGCATAGTCCGTCGATCCTGAACAGACTTTCCCGCTCTTCGATTAAGATTCGTTTCCTTTCTTGTACAGCTACTTGGACTGATTATTATTGGATCACGGGCAGATGTTTGTTGCTAATGAATAGATTGTATTTCATCGTATTATTGATGTTGTTGATGAAGGGGGGACGAATTTGATGACGGTTGCCTCCCGTCGGATAACGGCGGATGTGTTCGAATTGTTGATATGTCTTGTTATTTGTTAGGAATTATTAATTAATTGTTAGGAGTTTCTAAGGAAACTTTCACTGACTGTTTGTTTCTTCAGGCAATAGAAATGTTGGTCTTGAGTCTTATGAATTTTTCGAAGAAGATAATTGATGATGTTTCTTTTGAAGGTCGGCAAGAAGTTTCCCTTAGGATTTAAACTTAACTCTCTAGTCACTTAAACAAAATTGATTAAATCTTGAAAATCATATAGCATGCAATTGCACATCATACGATCCACCGGTATAATATTAATCAATTGTCAAGAGTCAATAATAAATGAAATTAACACAAAAAAGTTTAAAACTCGATGTCCGTTTCAAAATCACGATCACCATACAACAGTCAGTCCCATTACACCATGACGAACACCATAATTGGTCAGTTTCACTGATCGTTACACCAGTCTTTCGCTCTAAAACCAACAAAACATCAACGATCACCACTAACGAACAATCGAATCGGCAATAACAAAATGTCCACACAAATGGATAAGCAAGTATCGTCGGGGTCCAAACACTGGACACGGATACAAGTCGGTCACGGAAAAAGTCAGTGGCAAATAAAGTGTCCCGAGGGTTATAGTCCCAAAAATCCGCGGGCATGTGTGCGGGCTGTCACGGTGCTCGTGCTTTGGCGGGTATGGCGGTACTGAGGCTCCACCACCACCACCACCATTACCACCACCATCACGCTCGCCACCACCACCAGCATCGACAGCACGAGCAACGGAACGGTGGTGGCTGGCGTGTGACGAGGATCGTGCTACAGAGGAAAACTCGCGGTTAGAGCGAGAAAGAGGCTTTCGACGTACGCCCCTGGTTACCGGCGTTGGGCTAGCGATACGAGCGAGATGGAACGAGACAGTTCGAGCGTTGGATACGTTGGAGGAAGAGAGAGAAAGAGTGAGAAAGAGAGAGGGGTCGAGCGTGGATCCACGGACGGTATGGTGGGAAGAATCTCGTGGAGAAAGAGAACCGGGGGGAGAGTTTAGTGGGGACGAAGGTCGAAGAAAGAAGGCCCGCGATGTCGATAGCGGAAAAAGGACGGAGAACGCGTGTCAGCTCGACAACTCAACTAGCACCAGCCGTCCCTGACTCCCACCTTCGCCTCTTTCTCCCCGCTCTTGGCCTCCCGCACCCTTTGTACGCAAGGCGTATGAGGCGGAGGATCCAAAGGGAAGGGAGTGCGTGGGTGACGCGGGGGAATACGAAACTATTCCAGGGGGAGAGACTATCCATCAGAGTGTGGATAGAAGGGCCCGTGTCCACGATGATGGGCACGATTAGCGTGTCCTGTGTGTCGAGTGACGGAAGAAGGCTTTTCAGGGATAAGGTTTTGATTTTTTTTTTTGAAGGATAAGGAGGATGTTGGGTAGATTTTAAGGGTTGGACTAATTTGGGAAAAGGTGAAGAATGGAGGAAGAAGGAAGCAGTTTTTTTGGAAATTGATTAAAGGGAACAAAAAAGGATTGGTACGCATAAATTTTGAGATGAAAAGGTGTAATATCGTTATTTATGTATTCGTCTTAGCATTAATTATTTTAGAATTAAATATTTTAAATTTAAGAATTAAATATTGTCCATTCATTTTCGATATTTTCCTATTTAACATAATAATACACATATGAGATGCAGAAATATTCGTGTAGAATGTTCATGAATTATAAAATAAACATTACGAAAATATTATGTTGCAATAATATTTACAATTTACTTCTAAATGAATGAAATTGTACACGAAATTTTATTGGAAAAAATTAAACATTATTTAATTGGTTTTTAATTCAATTTAGAACAAGCCACGCTGATTTATCGAAACAATAGAATGTTCTAGAATTTTTCTCTGTGCAACAGGCATGATTGTCACACATGTGTTACAACTAGTCCATGGAAACACGAAACCATCGGAGGCGAAAATGCGAAGAAAAGATCCAGGACACGTTGACAGTAGGCGGTTGGGTTCTCAGGAATTCGTGTCGTCGACTAGCCAGATTTCTCCACACTTTTCGGATTCACGCGCTGGAAGAGATTGTTCTGAGAGCAGGAAAAAATATTTGACCGGCTGTCCTTGTGAAAGTTTGTATCTGCCGGAAGCTAAACACTTGATAGGCCATTTATGTTCCTTGTTCAAAGAAAGTTCAACATTTTCGCACATGTTGCATTTTTGTGTTTTTTAATAACAGGAAATATTATGAATTTAATGATATATGTATATCGATTAGATACAAATGTAATTCTAATTAATTTCTATTAGAATGTTAAATAAGAATTTGTTCTTTTATTTTGCTATTAATAATTATTTTTTCTTGAAAATTAAAAAAATTCTGAATTGATGAAAATATCTAGAAATTTTTAATATCTAGAATTCAAATTTAATGATACAGATTATCCTTCCACTTTTAATTTACCACTCTATTTAATTTATTTTTTATTTATGAACTATAATCCAAATCTAAAATTAGTGATAATATCTTTATTTTATTATAGACAAAATACAACATGTTTTAAATATTATTTTGTTTATATAATGTTTAAAATATTATTTTGTTTAAGATGAATAAATAAAATTGTAAAATTATAAGGAAATCAATAAATTATATTATGTTTCAAATTCTGAATAATATTAAAAAAATACCAGATATCTTTGATTTAATTAATTAAAAAATGACACAAAAGAAGAAGAATTAAGAATTTCGTAAAGATGCAGATATTTAATTGATTAGTGGTATTGTAAATTATCATTTGAACAAAATTGAAAAAAAAATTATTAAAATTATTCTCTTGTGTTATTCTCTAATCAAATATATGAATACAATATAGCAATTATAATATTAAATAAATATTGATTATTTTCAACTAATAATCTCCATAGAATTTATTCTCTATTATCATAACATAATCAATTAATTGTTTCTCAAAATTTTCATTAAATATAGATATATGGTCAATTATTTTGTTTACAAAATTGGTTAATCGAATATTCCATATTCCTTCATTTTCAATATTTTGAATTAATAACATTGAAATTTAAAATCTCATGTATATGTTTTTAAAATATTTGTAAAATTCAAATGAAATCAAAATTCATAAAATTATAATGTAAATGAATAAATTAAATTATTTACTTTAAAATTTTGATCATTTTAATTATAATTTCAAGGATTGAATATTTGTTCGAAAACTTTTGAAAATTGAGATTTTATTTTTCCGTAAATAAAATATTAAAATTATAATTTTTATATAAATATCATTGATTAGAAAACGCTTTCAATATTTTCAAAAAATGAGTAATGAAAATCTCAAATTCGGAGTTAACGACATTCTTCATCTTATATACTCACACGAAAATTAAAATTTTTTCAACCAATCATTTTCAAGTCTCCAGAACAATATTAATTCGAGAATCTCAGGAAGAGCAAAAATCTCTCAATCGCATTTCGATTAATCATCTCTAAATCTTCAGAGCAATATCAATTCAAGCATCCAATTTGTATTTAAATTATCCTTTCTCCTCGTAATACGAACTGAATTTTTTCGATTAAACATTTCGATTAAACCTTCGAAGCAATATCTAAAACACTTCAAGATACAAAGATCTCTCATTCACAATTTCTTAACAGTCATATTATCCCTTTGTCTCATAACACAAACACAAAAACTGAATTTTCTCGATTCCAAAGCAGTATCGATTCGAACATCTCAGGAAGAATAAAGATTTCTCGATGGCGATTTCTCGATGTCATTCAAATTATCTGTTTTTCTGATAATCGGCTATTAGAGGGAAAATTCTCTCTTCCTATTCCGCTAGGATGCATTTACCAAGGATGCTATCATCAAAGAATGATATTATCATCGGCGAGAGCGGCGCAATTAGGGCGGCGCGGATTTTTAGCGAAACGAGCCTCTCTAAACGCGTTGCCCGTCTTCGAACGATCATCCGGATGGACGCACACGAGATACCGGTGGCCAAAGGAGCGCAAGAGCTGTCGTTTTCGTGTGTTGATTGGCCGGTCGTTCCAGGATAATTAGGCTCCGGCCAAAGGGGCCTGGAGCCGAGTGGGAGGGGGTCCGACAAAATCAACAAAATAATAAGCGGCCACGGGTGTTTGCCGGAGACGCGGACGTGACGCGTTCTCGCTGATGAAGAGAGGTACCGTGAACGAGAGAATTACGACGCGAGGATTGGTTTAGGGGATGAGGATGAAGCAGTAGAACTGTTGGCTAATGGCTCTATAGGGTTCACTCGTTTCTCTTATTGTCAGGACTGGGGAAAATGAAGTTTTGAAATGGATAAGTAGGAATAAATATTTTTATCCCTTGAAGCGTTATAAAGGATTTTGCAAGAAACGTTTCTTTGAAATGGTTGGAATGGTGATGGAATTGTTGCATATGAATTGGCATATGATTTCACAAGTCTGTAAAAATGATGTTTTAAGATAAATGATTAATATAGCGTTAAGCAATATTTGTTGTCAAAGTAAATTTGAAACTTGGAACTTGGTAAATATAATTAGAATATTTTTTGTTATGTAGGCTTGAAATTCAATATAAAATAAAATATAAATATTAAGAAATTAATAAACATTAATAAATGTTGAATGTTAATTAATAGATATAATCATAGAAAAATAAACTTCGAATTAAATTTAAAAATTTTTGAACAAAAGAATTTCAACAAATGAAAATTCAATATATATATATTTTTCCAATAAAGAAGAGAAAAAAATTCACGAATGTTGTCTTTTATTTTCAAGACATTAATGATTAAAAATAATTGAAATAATTTTATTTATTATTGAATCTACGTATAAATAATATTATAATAAATGATATAATATGATGATATAATAATGATGATAATAATATTAATAATAAATAATATTTATCTATGATTTAGACATTAAATGAAATAATATCTTCAAAATTTAAAGTTCAAATAATATTTTTTTATAAAAAAATATTTTAGTTT